TTGTGATTTGGCGCTATATAAGTAAAGCTGAATTGAAGTGAAATGAAAATAAAGCCATCGGGAGTGCATTACAACTGCTTGATTGTTTATATGTTAAAGAAGCCCCTAAATGAATGTCAGTACCTTCTGTATTGACAGCAGGGCAGGTCACTATTCAGTGGTTCAAATATGATTGGTGTAAAAGTAGTCAATACATTTCCCAGAATTTTAAACTTGGCTCTTTGGTAACTGTAACTGGTAGCAACACTAATGTGTTTTCTCTTTTCCTAATCTTTAGGTGTAGTTTCATCACTTATTATCACTTTAATGAGAAATAGTGAGGACAGTAGTAAAGTGGTGTTACAGTGTGAGTCTGCAGGCTGGTATCCAGAGCCTGAGCTGCTGTGGTTGGACAGTGAGGGAAACCTCCTCTCTGCTGGACCTACAGAGACCCTCAGAGGTCCTGATGACCTCTATACTGTCAGCAGCAGAGTGACTGTGGAGAAGAGACACAGCAACAACATCACCTGCAGACTCCAACAGAGGAACACCAACCAGAGCAGAGAGACACACATACATGTTCCAGGTAAAAAACAAGTTATTTATTTATATTTTTTTTGTTTGTTTGTAAAATTGCTGCAGGCTACTTGTTGATATTCTGTGTGTTCTCATTACAGGTGATTTATTTAATCCTCCATGTAGTTCTGCTGGTCACATCATCATAAGTGTTGTTGTGACAGTCCTGCTTATTCTTGCAGTTGTCTCTGTTGTCTGGAAATATCGTTCTAAACGCCAAGGTACAGTTTTTTGACTAAAAATGAAAATTAAGTGACTTTAAAAAATCATCAATTATTTATTAAAGAAAGACAAAATAATGTATTTCTGTCCATTTAAATAACTTTTTTTGTACAACAGGAGGAAACACAAAAATTTCCACTGATCACAGAGAATGTCAGCCCCTCACTGAGAAAAAAAGAGAAGCACTGGATCTCACAGAAGATAGTACTGACACTGTCGACTTTGATATGGAACAAGAAAACCTCAACACTTGGTTTAAAGAAGGAGAGGAAGACAAATTTAACTTGATAATGATGGTTCAATTTTTAATGAGTCATAAATGTGACTTAGAAAATGATATTTATAAACTGAAACTGAAACTGCTCGAGCTACAAAAACAGCAAGATGAAAATCCGAGTCAGCTGGTAAACAATATTAAACAAATAGAACAAAATGACACAAAATCTGACAAAATAAATGAAGAACAGGGTATGGAAAAAGAAACTAATTTTGAAACAATGAAGGAAAACCTTGAAAAAGAAATAGAGGAAAAGGAAACACAAAGAAAATCAGTGTTGTATGGGGTTGATGTAATGACAGAGAAGAAGAAAGAGTTAGATAACACTTTATACAAAATTCATACACAGAGGGAGAAAATAGAGAAGAGGAGAAATGAAGTTCATATACAGTTTCAACCAGGCAATTCAGAGGCATAAAAGTGAACATTAAATAACGTTCACATTATTCATTTAATCATCCATTTATCACAGTTAAAAAAGTAAGACATTTACAATCTCTAACACAGCACTACAAGATATATTTCATGGATGAAAGCAAATTCAAAACAGCAGCTATAGTAAAGACAATATGGATTTTACTTATTTCACAGAAGAGAGCCTGTCATCACCATTTTTAACACAGCAGAAGAAATTGGTTGAAAGACCCTAGTGACACAATTTTAAATGTACTTCAGTGTCCTCTAGTGGCCATATGATTTATGACAACTGCATATAAGGAGAAATGTGTTTCAGAGCCAAAAGACAGTTGCACTCTTTCAGTCACAAAGAACATTTCAGTGTTATTGTTCCATTTTAATAAAATTCTAATAATAATATAAACTTAATATTAGATTATTTTACATATTTGGTGCCATGTACCACACATATACTTTTACTTTTGTTTTCTTTTTCTTTCTTTTTATTGTCTTTGTTCTTTTTTAATGTGCAAGTTATTTACATTTTATATAATAGGAGATAATAATCAGTTTTCTGACTTTAACTTTGTCTTTCTAAATTCCCTACAAGTGTGTATTTCTTTTTTGTTTGGTGAAAAAGAAATCAGTTTTTGTTGTGTAAAAATATTAAGCATGCCATTAAAATCTTTAAAATGTGTAAAAAAAAAGAGAGAAAAAAAAAGAAGTACCTTATCAGGAGAGTTAACTTTATTTGCAAAATACATTTAGTAAATATTATTATTACTATTAATTGTATACATTTATGGCAGTTATGATCTGTCACATGATGGCTATAGGAAAAGTATAAAGTAGACTTGGGAACAGAGTCTAAACACAGGCTAAGATAAATACTAAGGGAGGAAGGACTACAATCACTAAGAACTAAAGAAAACCAAAACCATGACAACAATAATCAAATAATATAATTACGGAGTCTGAAACACAAATACTGGGTTGCAGACCCAGTACCGTGACATCTTCTCCTCTATTTTTCTTTCCCTCTCCTTCTGTTAACTCTCTTCCTAATTTCTCTTTCTTTCTCTTTGCTGTCTTCCGGTCCTGTAGCAGCGATACAGAAAGAAATTACATATTCAATAAAATTCTGTAAAACAACGTCAGCAATTCAGATGAGACTTTAAAATATGTCATTTTCCTTAAAAGGAACAGTCTTTGCTGAACTTCTTTGGTAGTGACATCAGCATGAGGCTCAAAACACAGTCAAAACAGTTTGCAGTCAAGAACAGCCCCTAAATGCTTTTAAGTCTTCACAAACTCAATATCAGCAGCTTTAATATTAGTAAGGTGATGAACTGTAAGAAGACTTCCTGAAATCAATAATCATGTCTTTTGTTTTTGACACATTTAATGAAAGGAAGGACTCATCACACCAATCCACAAAATCTTCTACAACCTGCCCATGGCCTGTCTCGTCCCCCACAAAAAGACTAAAGATCACTGTGTCATCAGCAAACTTCAGGATGTGTCTGTTAGTAACACTGCTTGTTCGTATACAGAATTAAAAGAAAGGGTGAGAGACAGCAACCCTGAGGAGATCCAGTAGAAGAGGAGAGCACATCAGAAAGTACATGGTTCACCTTCATGCATTATGAGCTGTTAGTAAAAAAGTCTAGCTCCCAACTAATCAGACTAAGATCAAGCTTAAGGTGGTTATAAAGCCCAACAGCAAGTAAGGTGGGCTGAATTGTGTTGAATGCTGACAAAAAGTCAGCAAATAATAATCTTGCATGAGTGTTAGGGCGCTCAAGATGCTTACACAAGAAATGCATGAGTGTGACAACAGCATATCCCACACCTCTTCCTGCTGGAACAATGATAGCATTATTCCAAATCTTAGGTACTGTCTGTAACTCTAGGGAAAGTGAAAGAAATGTGATGAAAAATCCCACTCAACTGATCAGCACAAGTTTTCAGTACCTGCCCACAGATGTTGTCAGGTCCAGGACTCTTAATCTTAGTGTGTCTAAAGACATTAAATACACCCCTCTCCTCAGTACAAAATGATGAGGGAGTGGTAGTCTTTTTTCTTAATGTACTCATCTCCATAAAACAATCAAGATTCTCAAAATAAAGATAAAAACTATTACAATTATCTGCCAAATGTTTGTCAGAGGTAAACCCATCTTAAGAAATGTTACAGTGACCCTTAGTTTGTAGCCCTTAGATGGTTTTCATACCACACCAAGCTCTGTTAAGGTAATCACTACTCATTTCTGCTTCAATCTTATTTTTATATCTCATCTTGGTCTTCTTTATTACAGCTCTCACCTCCTTCCTTAATGTCCTCATAGTGGAAACGTCATACTCATTAAAATGAATTTTCCTTTTAAGAATCAGATTCTTGATGTCTTTGGAGATCTGAAGAACGTAGTGCAGGTCCAGCCACAGACTTATATTCCCCCTTAATTGATCCATAACACAAATCCAGCGTTTTGTTTTGCCTTGTAGGACAGGTGAAATATAATTTTTTAAATTATATTGTAGTCTTAAGAAATTATGTTCAGTGATTTCTTAAGATTACAATTGTTAAAATCACCTAAAATAAGAGAAGGAGGAGGAGGCTAGAGGCTAAGATCAAGGTAACACGGAGGGAGGTTAGCCAACTATCGGAGTTGCAGAAAGGCGCGATGAGGAAGGTGCCTAAGAAGTACAGGAAGCTGTCCATACGTGAGGCCTTGGAAACTGCCAAGCAACGACTCACAGCCTTGGCCAGCCGCTTGAGGAGGTACACCAGAGAGATAGAAGGCAGGAGAATAAACCAGCTGTTCTCCACAGAACCAGCAAAGGTGTACTCTCCGTGGCAGGGGAACAATATGAGAATAGCACCACCAAGGCTGGAGGCAGAACAATACTGGAAGAGCATATGGGAGAAGGACACAACCCATAACGGCAATGCTCAGTGGCTAGTGGATCTGAGGGCAGACTACAGCGACCTCCCCGAAGAGGGTCCAGTAACCATCACCGCGGCAGACATCCAAGAAAGGGTCTCCAGTATGAAGAGTTGGACAGCACCAGGCCCTGACATGGTTCACACCTACTGGCTGAAGAAGCTGACTGCACTCCACCAGCTGCTAGTTGACGAGAGACACCCGGAATGGCTTACCGAAGGCCAGACAGTCCTGATCCTCAAGGACCCCCAGAAGGGACCGGTCCCCTCCAACTACCAACCAATAACCTGCCTTAGCACCACATGGAAGCTCCTGTCAGGCATCATAGCGGCTAAGATGAACAGGCACATGGGTCAATACATGAGCGGGGCACAGAAAGGGATGGGCAAGAATACCAGAGGCGCAAAACACCAGCTACTGGCAGACCAAGCAGTCAGCCGAGACTGCAAGACCAGACTGACCAACCTGTGCACTGCCTGGATTGATTACAAGAAGGCCTATGACTCAATGCCCCACAGCTGGATACTGGAATGCCTAGAACTATATAAGATCAACAGGACCAGGGGTAGGCAACCTTTCTGATAGCGAGTGCCATTTAAAATTTCCTCAGAAGTCAGTGTGCCATATGATTGCATTAGCAATAAATTTAATAACGCTCTATATTAACAGTTACACAATATATAGAACCACTTTATAGAATTATATTTGTTTGCAGATGTTGGCAGCTATCAGTGAATAGTTATCAGCTATTTTGAAACAAAAAAAGACACTTTTTATCCATAACAAGAACTCTATAACAGCAAATGAACTGTACAACAGAAAATACAAATGCTGTTTATGGTCTCCTCACAACAATGATAAGAAAAATAAACTAAGCCAATATAGCATGTTTGTTAATACAGAGACACACATGTTAATGTGATCTCTGGTCTCCACCTCAGAGACACAGGTCTCCGAGTGTCCAGCATTCAGACGGCTACCTGAGGACTCATGTGAGAGAAAATCTGCTCACACAGATATGTAGAGCCAAATACTGTCAATAAGGCCTCTGCAATGTTCTGAAGACAGTTAAACTTGTCAGGTAGACAAGGTAAACATGTCCAGCAGGTGAAAATGCAAGCTCCATGAACACGCACAGCTATGGATTCCAGCTGCTTCGATGTTGCATTAATTGGCATTAACTCAGCCAGTTAATGCGAGACAAATCTAGCTGCTCATTAAATATTTCTGGTTTGATCAGAAAATAAAACATTGGTCCATACACCAGAAAGTCCCAAAAAGGCATTGTGTCCCGAGTCTACGGGTGTATCCGTGTATTTCCGTGGTGCTGATGCTGTGCTGAGCGAAAAGCTCCTGAAGCTTTTGAAGTGTCGGAATGTGTAATGCTAACAACGTCCCTCATTGGCTAAGTTGTTTTTAGCCAATTACAAGTTGAATCTGGTAGTTGGGGTTGTTAGCTAAGATACCGTCATTAAGAAGGGGCACAACTAATGTGTCTATGCGAGCTGATTTGCGATGTGCACCGCTGGCGCGGCCATTTATTTTTTGATGCACCTTCTCAGATTAATTCACTGCGTGTCGTGCCCAGGGCTGGACTGGGACAAAAAGTCAGCCTGGGCATTTTGAGTAAAGACCGGCCCACCAGGTATTAAAGCCATAAAGCCTTGGAATGAAAACAAACGCTGTTGTGACAGTGATGTACAATGTTGTTGGTATATGTATGATTTCTATATATTTTATGTCAGATAAAAACATTGGTTGTAAGCTTCATATAATCATTTAATAACAGCCAGACATTTTAAATGAGAATAAGAAAGTATTTCTTTGTGTCCCTCTTTCCCTGCCCCAACTGGCCCCCCTGGCAAAACTTTGCTAGACCCGCCCCTGCACAGTTGCCAGCTGTCAGCTACATAGAAAAGGATCTTGATGTTATTTGTCTCTCAGAAACAGTTCATAAATTCCCTCCAATTTAGTCATTGTCACCTAAAAGGTAAACCTGTTTCTCCATCACCTGTTCAGCTCTGATGATTCAGTAAGGACATCTCCAGGTTTCATCTTCATGTGTCCCTCTCACCACATATCCAAACCGACATCATGACCAGCAGCTTTTACAGCTGTGGCTCCAGCAAACATCAGCTGATACTAGAAATTAACATTAAATAAATTCTAACAACAGCTGGAAAGCTATAACCACCAAGTACCTGCAGAGGGTCAGGCAAGTCCTGAGGAGTCAGCTGAACGGTAAGAACAAGATCCAGGCTATCAACACCTACGCCCTGCCCGTGATCAGGTACCCTGCTTCCGCTGTAAAGTGGAAAGAGGGGGGCCGGGGACAGGTGAGTGTCAGCACCACAGTCCAGGATGAGACAACGAACATCCACAAATACATCACGAAGATGGCTCAGTGAATACCTCAGGCAG